CAAATTAATTAACGGGGTTTGTTTTGCTTTGGGAACAGGAGGACGGAGTGGAGAGCCCAGCTGTTGGCCAGGCACCAGGTTTCCAAAGGGGACGTGGAGCCTTAATTACTCCTTTCCCTTAACCTCGTTGCACCTTGAGGTATTTTAACATCACTTTTGCTGGCACTGGGGATTGATCGATTGTCCCTCCCTTGGCATGCAGACGGCCTGATTAATGTAAAACTAACCAGTCGCTCCCAACTCTGGGGAATTAATCACTTAAATGTGGGAATTACTCAATAAACCGTTCAAACACGCAATAAACCAAGCCATTAAAAATTAATCGCTTGACATCCCTGCCATGTAAACAGAGCTAATAAGATTCGGGCAGGGAGCGGAGAAGGGGAAAGCGTCCCGCCAGCGCCCTGGGAGCAGACAGGGTGGCTGTGGAAAAAGCAGCCACGGCTCAGCTCCTGCCTTTTCTCTTGGATGCCCTCCAGCTTTGCAAGCTCTACCTGCGAGGAACCGGCGCCATCTCACATCCGCGGGAGCTGTGTTTAATTAGCGAGGCACGGTCGGGGAGATGAGCCGTGCTGTGCTGGAGCAAGGGCTCATCTCCCAGCCCATCTCCTCGCAGCAGCAGTCCCGCCAGCTCGCGATGCCTTCACGCATTGCCCAGCTCTTGCTCTTTTGTCCCCCTGCCTTGCACGTTCCTGTTTTTTTTTTTATTTTTTTTTATTTTGTTTTGTTTTGTTGTTTTTTCCCCCCAGGTAATGGCATTGAGAATGGCATTTTCTTCCAGCTACTTCTGCAGGCTCAACCTAGGCAAGGACTGGCAGCTCCACGCTGGTGAACCGGCTTCATCTCCCCCAGGAGAACGGAAAGGGGGTTTATTTTAAATCCCTTTCCTCCCATAATACATCTGACACTAATCAGGGTTCCAACCCCATGGGAATCAATGATTAATGATGTTAAATATAGCAGGAGATTGCGAGGGTAAAATTAGGCACCATGCATAAAACATCACAGCTCCTTGTTAGATAGTCAAATTAGACTAATGGTTTGATGTTCACATGGGCTCTGGCCCTGTAATTACGGACGGACTGGCTAACCTCCTCCCCAGCTGTATGCAGCTTTGATGCTGGCAACAAGAGGAGAAATGTCCCAGGCTCGAGCCCTGACGAGAAGCCAGCAATCACCACTGCCATCAGTGCCCTGAGGTGTGCAAGGACAGGGCGGAAAGCAGGGCTCTGCACTGCCAGCACCAAGGTTCGGAGGGGACAAATGTGGCCCTGCAGCACAGTGAGGAATTTGGGAACAGCACCGCTATGGGGCGGCTTCTCCACCCCTCCAGCATCCCTCCGGCAGCACGGCAATTTACAAAATTGCCTCACTACCCCATCTACCAGCCGCACAGGTTTGCGCCACCGTCGCCCCCAAAGCACCAGCCCCAATTACCCCCTGAGCGCTAATTAGACTGCAGACAGAACTATTAAGGAGCACAAAGACAAAGAGAGAGGGGGCAGGAAAGCAAAGCAGTCAAAATACATAACCAGTTCCTCCAAAAGCATCGCGCAGAGCACATATCTGGTTGTAATTAATCTCATTATCTGGGAAAGAAAGAGACGTGGAGTGGTTGCGTGCCTTGAAAGGGTTGTCAAAATTCGAGGGCGGGAGGGATAAGCCTTCGGGAGAGTTTAAGCTCGGGTAGCCACCAGCCTTAAAGCCAGTTTAAAGGCAGATCGGAGTGACAGGGAAATAAAGACGGGAGTAAACTGGCCCGGAGGAAGCAATTTAAATAACATTTGCTTAAGGAACGAGACAAAAATAGCCCGGGAAGGACGAAGCAGCTGCCCGTCATGAAAACACGCTGCCCTGCCACAGTGTCTACCCACCAAAACCAATGTTATGCCAAAAAAAAGCCCTTATAAACCATTAAACAGCCATAGGGTATCTATAGGGTAACAGGAGGTGCTGAATGCAGCTTCACTCTTGGGCACTGGTGCTCTGCAAGACTTCAATTTTCCTTCCCAACAACACATTTTGGGGGGGGAAGGGGGAAAAAAATACTCTCAAAGGTGATGCCCCTCACCCATGCTGTGCAGCAGAATTGTTGCAAGGTGAAGGTGGGTGAATCCCAAATCCGTGGGCACCCTGGCCCCAAAAAGGCTTTGGATGGGAAGAATGGCTTGCCCGGCATCACTACCACACCGGGGACCATCAGGACAGCTTTTGGGGGGGGCTCCCATTGCATGCACAGCCCACGTCCCCCACCTTGGGGTGCGAAAGCTCTCAGCAAGTTGCAGCTGTCTGTTCCGTGCCACTGCAGAGATTGTCAATTGTTTGGAGAAGAACAGATTACAGCCTGTCAGGGAACCTGAAACCGAGCCAGGCAGGGAGCGTTGCTGTGTTAAGCCCCCGAAAACCAGTCAGCAGATTAAAAATAATAATAAAACGCTTTCCCTCCATTGGCTGCAGACGTGGGGATACATTTACAGTTGGAAATGTCCCATGCCCCACGCAGGAAGCTATAGGGGAGCCAGGCTGAGGTATCGCCGTGCAGATACTGCAGTCCCCAGCCCCACAGGCTGAGATTTTGGGGCTGTTCACTATGCTTTGGGCCGGCTGGCAGCATGGGGCAGACCTCCCTCATCGAAATAACCCCCTAGTTTTGGCAGCAGGGCTGGAGGGGGAAGGTTAGCCAGCACATCAAATCACTCCAACACGGCTGAGTCACTGTTTGGGGGACCATCGAGCCTCCCCCCCACCAAGGTAACCAAACCAACCAAAATCCTTATTATTTTTTTTTTTTTTTTTTGGATTCAGGAACAAAATTAATAGAAAGCAGGAAGGAAATAGGAGGGGTGCAGCCCAGATCTGCTTTGCCCCCAAATCACAGCGATGCTGGCATGGGCAGCGCATCACCACCAGCAAGAGCAAAGGACCTGGCTGCTTATGAGCAAGGATTCCCCCCCAGCAGGCTGGGGGCAGGATTTTACCTCTCAAGCTCCAGAATCCTTGCTGAGGAGGTGCCTGCACCCAGCTCAGACCCTGCACTCCCAGCTCCTCATCCCCGTCCCCCCCAGGGGAGTTTATTTTTCCCACCACTCCCACAGCTCTGGCCAGGGTGCAGAGACACTTGCTGCCTGCAACCAAAAGGCCAGCACAGCCCTTGGCACAGAGCAGGGCTTGGGGGAATGCCTCCCCCCAGCACCCCCAAAATAGCTGCGTGCACATCTGTAAGCAGTTTATCAGGGATAAAAATCACAAAAGCATCGCCATCAGCCCCCTGTTCCCCCAGATTTCCATCCCTCGGGGGTGACCCAGCTTTGCTCGTGGCTGTGCGTCCCGGTGGGGTGCAGCTCTCCAAGGGTTTGGGGTCCAGAGCCAGCAGACCCCGCAAGCCCCCCTGAGCTTTGCTGCAGATGACAGCAGCTTTGCCAGGGCGGGTTGGGAAGGATGCGGCCACTTGACAGATTCGGGTTTGTCAGAGGGGGGTTTCAGGCTAACAACCTGAAAATTGTTCGTTTTGACAAGGACTTCAAAAAGCTCCGGCACAAAGAGCGTTTAAGCCTTGTTTCCATGAGAGGCTGCTGCAAGAGCACTTTTTCCCTTGCCGCCCGCAATCCTATTAGGACGGCTCGCATCCAGCGCGCTGCCCTGAGCTGGCAGCGGGGATCTGACCACAAACCACATCCTGGTGTGTGTCTCTCTCCCCGTGCCATGCGCCGCTGTCCCCATCCCATCCAGCTCACCCTCCCCGACCTCGAGCATCCCCCTCCTTGCTCCCTGCAGCCCCCCAGGCTTTGCAGCCCTCCTCAGCACTGCGGTGCAGAAGCAAACCCACTGCTGCACCATGGTCCTGAGCTGCCAGGAACGGCCACATCCAGCCCGAGGAGGAGCAGCAACCAACTGGCTCTTATTAAGAGTCCAATAATGTCCAGGAGATTGCAGCTTTGATAAGCACTCTGCTGTGCGGCTGGGGTCAACTGCATTAGGAAAATGTAATTAGGCTAATAAATTCTTGACGGCTTTTCCCTGCTCTCCAGGGGTACGAGGAGCTCACCAAGCCTCATTAACTGGGGAAGCTGACGGAGCCGTGTTTGGGGGTATGGCTGCAAGCTCAGCAAGCTGGGAGTAGACCCTGGGCTCTTCAGACCAGTTCTCCAGCCTTACTGGTCCCAGTCACTGCCATCCACGAGCACAATGACCCATGTGGGGTTAATCCTGCGCAAGGTGCTCCAGGTGATCCTGCTCTGCTAGGGGGTTGTCTTGGGTGATCTTCAGAGGTCCCTTCCAACCTCATCCATTCTGTGATTCTGTTAAAGCTACCGGGCACAGGCTGCAAGTCCCCAACACCCTCAGCCATCTCTCCCCCTCTTTTAGCAAGAGTGCCAGCAGCTTGGGCCACCCAAGCAATAGAGGGGGTCACCTAGAGCCACCCCGAAGGCTCTGCTCCAGCTGGTGCCTCCCTCCACGTCTCCCAGCCCCGTGATGCCAAAGCACAGCAGCTACTTCTCAGCTCACCCAACTTCTCCTCTTGGCAACTTTTGCTGGCACAGCCCTCGCACCAGGAATAGCAATGCGTGCGGAGGTCCAGCTCCCGCAAACAATGTCGCCTGATTAAGACATCTGCCTAATATCCTGCCCCAGGAAGGGGGAACTCCAGCTCCCATAGCAGTGTCTCACATCCAACGCTCCCTTCCCTGCTCCCTGCATGCCCCCCAGCCCTGCCAGCACCGTGGAGGGTGACCAAAAGGTGTTTGCATTGCAGATGCATCCTTCAAAAAAGCAGCCAGAGGCAGGACAGCCCTTGGACTCCTGCTCAGCGTCCCTGCATCACTGCTGAAAAAGCACGAGCTGCATCCAGTCACGCTTCAGCTATGGCACGATTCTCCACCCCCTGCCTGCGAAGGTAACAGAGCAACTGCTTCATAGAGACATCATGAATCAGCCTTTAATATAGTGCACGTTGCATTATTTTTAGCCAGGACACTATTGTATTATGCTAGTGCGCAGGAATCAGACCATGAAATTGGCTGGATGCAGGCTAGGCTTGTTTGTCAGCGTGAACGGGCAAACGAGCAGCTGAGCAGTGCCAGGGTGAAATGTTGAAAGCATTTAAGTGCAATTTTATGGCACCCGGTATCAGCGAGCGGGGCGTTGGAAAGGACGCGGCGTGGCTATCACATCACGCGCCGGACAGCGGGTCCTGATAGCCCTGCTCAAGTCAGGGGCGAGGGTTGCCCTAAAATTAACCCGCCGACCCAACACCAGAGCCTGGCGTGGTGCCTACGGCCATCCTGCGCTAAACAGCGGCTCCAGGCAAGGCTGCCGAGCTGAATGCAGGAGGTCAGCCCCTGTCTCAGCAAGCAGCAGAGCGGGGAAACCTCATTCCAGGCTAACTCACGCCAGAAGGGCCCTCGGGGTGGATTTGCATCCCTTTGGGTTGCAGCCGCTCCTGTCCGCGCCAGCACAATTACCAGTTGCTTGATGCCAACGGTGCTGTGGGGGGCACCCCAAGCCGTGCTGGGGCCATCAGCAATGCTAAAACATGGGGAAATGTCCCCCGTGAGCCCCAGAGAGCATCCCGGAGGCTGCCAGCACCTCCCCTCTACGGCTTCCGAGGAAAGGAATTGGAACCCGAAACGTCGCTGGAGGGCGTGGAGCCAGGAGGAAAAACAAACCCATCCAAGAGAGCTGAAGAGGGCAATCACGGCTCTTCTTGCAGCCCAAATTGTTAGTTTAGCAAATCACCGTTGAACAGCCTGTGTTTTGACATTTCTCAAGTGTTTTGCTTCCTTTCCTCCCAAATCAAGGTGACGGTTTCCAACACCAAGCGTTCGGCCAAGCCCTTGGCTTTGAGAAGCGGCCGGTCAGCGCAACGTGGGGCTCCCCAAAACGCATGGATGGGGACGCCCCCATCACCCCCGCACCTCCATCCCTCCCTCAGAGCCCGTTACGGGGCTGCAAAACCAGAGTGGCCAGAGAGCCGGTGGGACAAACCCCCAGTGCACGTGGTGGGACCTCATATTCCCCCTCCCCTCCACACCCATCACCCTGTGTCACTGCAGGAGGAGCGACCGAAATCAGGGCAGCTGCGGGGTGTTGGCAGCAGTACGGTGTCTCCACAAATTAACGGCGGGCAACAGGAGCGGAGCTGGCAGCCGGGCTCGTGCTGAGGATGCTCCTTCAATGCCGCGTTGACGGCAGAAGTCAACTGGAAGCAGAGGTCAGGTCCGTCCCGCTGCTTCGGGGTTAATCGCTTCGTTAAGGCTCGGGTACCGTGCATGCTGGCATTGCATTTGGCAGAGGCAATTAGCCGGTATTTATATCACCCGCAGCGGAGCATGCCCTGAAAAAAAGTGGGGGAAAAAAAATAAAAAAATAAAAAAAAAAAGCAGGATTTAGTGCCCGGAGCCCTGGTCTTGTGGTGGATCTGCCAGTGCTTACGGAGCTTCACTTGGAAAGGCTGCAGCTGAGCTGATTGAGGCCGACTGAACCTGAACTCAGCCTCAGCTGCCTTCACAGGAGCTTATTTCCACTGCTTTGCTCCTCACTGCCGCTGTATTTGATGTCTCGCACTCACCAGGTCCCTGGGGGCAGAGCCGAGAGGAGAAGCTTGCGAACTAACACAGATTTGGGGAGGTTTTTTATCATCGCTCCCAGGACCGACTGCTCTCTGTGCCTGAGCCACGTCGCAAGGCTTTGATAGCGAAAGCTGCAGCCCGGCGGGCCGCCGGCTTCCCTGCCTGCTCTGTAAGGCAGAGATGCCACGGGGGATAGTTTGCATCAGAAATTCGTCTGCGGCTCGTCGGGGGAAGCTGAGCCAAAGCGGTTGCTGCCGGCGATGCCTGCGGCTGGCTTTGGTGGCTATCAGCACGAGGAGGGCACGCTCACCCTGTGCAAGCTGCTCCTCGCCTTGCTTTATCCCTAACAGCAGGCGCAGAGGCCAGCAAGGGCTGCAAAGGCGTGGAGGAAAGGTGCACGGTGTCCATCTGCAAAGCAGCTTTTAGCAACACCCGCCCAGCCTTTGGTCCAGCTAATGGCGACCCCGTGCCCCTTGCAGCCCCAAATTGCCCCTTGCATCGCCCAATCCTCGCAGCTTCACATAGACCCAGGCACACCCCAGTGATGCGTGTCCATGCACCCTCCTTCACCCACCAGAGGTAAATTATTGAAAAAAAAAATAAGATTGCCATGGAAATGTCAGGGACATGGTGATGGGAAGCAATGTCAAGAGCTGTTTGAGTGTCACAACCGTGCTAAAGCGACGATAAATCCCGTGCTGGGGATGCTATGAGCAGGGCTGACAGCTCGCAGGGAGATGCGAGGCAGGTAGGCGGATGTTTTCTAAACTTTGCCAGTGGAAGACTCAAGGCTTGTTATCCCTTTGTGCTCTTCCCCATCACTCCTTGCTGGTGTTGCTGCCAGGCGGAGGCATGCTGCTCCATCTGGGGGTTAAAACCCCAAACGTCCCCAGATCCCAGCTGGGACTGAGCTCAAAGCACCATTCTCAGCTCCAGCAAGAGCAGTGAACACAGCTGAAGGAAACAAGGCATTTGGGGAACGACCCTGCTCCTTTGGGAAAGCCAAGCCTGGCTCGAAGGAGAGGGTAAAACTGAGTTTCAAGGCAATCTGAGCACTTTGAGTAGGGCCTGAGGGCGATCTCAGCCGAGCTGCATGCCTAACTGGCAGCCAAAACCATGCAGACCCAGCTCTGAGGCTGCAGTGTGGTTTTGCAAGCACCTGCACCCCCTGTGCACACAGCCTCTCACCTCCACATTGCAAAAACACCCCCCAAGCCAGGGTCCCCCCAAATAACCCACCCCTTAGCTGTCATCCTTGCCATATCCCCAGCTCCGGCTGCACCTCCCTGCCCCACTGCTGCAGCGTCTTTGCCCTTCAGCAATTGGAAAGGTAAAAGAAGAGAGGTGTGGAGCTGGAAATCGCTCCTGTTCACTGCTACAGCTCAAGAAATAAGAAGCACCCTCATCTTTGCAAGCACCCGTGGGGCACGCAGTGGGCGAGCTGCCACCCAGCTCCTTTGCTCTGGAGGGGAGGTGCAGAGGGGCTGCGATGGCTGGAGCTGCCCCAGGCCATGCAGCGGTCACCAAGCCCAGCCCTGCCTCGTACAAACCTGGGATGCAAACCTGGCCCCCGTCTCGTTAAGCATTCAACAGCATTTGGATTATTACCTGCTGTTCGGTTGGGTTTAATCTTTCAAAATTGCCAAGAAAATTCACTTGTAGGAATTAAGAGGGCACGAATATTGCCTGTTAGCTGCAGGAGGCGGCTCCATCCCGCTGCTCTCTATCGGTCCCCCCTGCCGCTTTGTTTAGCTGAAGCTTTTTGTGCAAACACGGCCGTTTTTACCAGCGATGCTCCTGGGCTGACCCCCCTGCAGCAGCGCAACCTGGGCACGGCTCGAATGCTGCAGCGCTTGCAATGCAGCCGGCCGCACGTGCTGGGGAAAACCAGCCAGAAATGCAGCTGCGGCTTGAAACATCCCAGCCCTGTTGTTGCAAGGCAGAAAGCCCCCCTGCAGTACAGCTGGTTGAAGCACGCAGGCATCCACCTGCAACGAGCTTTGCACGTTGGCACCCATCCCTCTGCGTGCAAGCACTGCTCCTCCCTTGACGAGGTTTGGGCAGCCCACCCCAAAGCCTCCAGCTGCCCTTTTGGGGCATCCTGCTTTGCTGCCAGGTCGTTTGGAGCAAGCACCAGGTTGAAAAAAAATATTGAAGCAGCAAGGCATAGCTCTGCATCCCATCTCTTTCCAGCAGCAGCCATTTTCCTGCTGATCCCAGCCGTGCCTGCCTTCAAAGAGCAGCAGGAGCAGCGTGGTTAACCCCCTGCTCTGCATGGCCAACCCTGCTAGCCTCAATCAGGGCAGATAACCAAAAAGGCTGGGGGAAGGACACCAGCTCCTTGACTTCTCTGGAAGGGAAGCAGATTTAGGGGACAGAGCACTGCACACCAGCAGGTTTGCACGTCTCCAAGCACAGCTGGGCTCCCAAAAATCTGATGCGTGTGCTGCACCACCTGCAGTAAAACTGCATCCTGAGGGACCCTGAAAGTGCAGCAGCACCCAAGCACCAACCTGAAATCCTCCTGCAGCAATGAACTCAGCCAGGAGAGCCGTCCCCTAGCACAGATTTTCCTGTGGGATGCTGCTCCCAGGGGTTTGGGCAGGCTAATAAGGAAGTCTGTAACCTTATTTAAAAGTCACTTTTGCTCATAATGGAAGGCACTTACCCCCTCGGATACATCATTCGCCTCGCATCGGTTTTATTGCTGGTAATAACTCCCAGAAAGTCCTCAACAGATGGAAATTTTATTTGGCTAATCATTGCCGTCTGAGTTACTGTGGGAAGGTGCTGGCAGAAGTTTGCAGGGGGAGGGGGGGGCAAAAATAGGGGTCAGGGATGGGGCTGTGAGCATGGGGCCACCCCAAAGATTTGCAGGGCAGCCCCCGCCACCCCAGGCAGGCAAATCATTGATGCTGCATCTTTCCCGACCTGGCCTAGGAATTTTACATGACTGCAAGTTTTGCAGGAGGTTTTTATTTTGAAGGGGGCATTGTAAAGCCCCCAGTGTCCTCCTGCAGCTGACCCCATGTGTTTGCACCCATAGCGCATGCAGGACCAGGACCATCTCCAGCCCTGCTGCCCCAGGGGGTGAGTCAAAGCAGGATTGGGCCATATGGAGGCCAGAAACAAGCAAATATTTGCTCTTCTTGCACCTGGCAATAGCTTGGCACCAGCTCCCCCTTAGCAGGGTTGTCACTGGCTGCCTGATCCCCTCCGCAGATAACAGAGCAGCAATTTCTTAACCTATTTTTAAAAGACTGAGGATGAGGAAGAAGAAAGAAAATGCAATTTTATCCTACCCAGGAGGGCCCTGATTCCAACAATCAACAAAAAGCAATTTTTTTATTCCCTCCCCCCAGTTGAACAAGCCTCTCTGAGCCTTTTTCCTGCCTGCATATTACAACTGTTCATTTGTTAGGCATGCATTACAGCCATGGGATGGATATATGTTGATATTCGTAAGAGGAAGGAGCGCTGCATAAACCTCTCTATCACGGCTGTACATGTGTAACCACTCTTCGGCTATCCTTTTTTATATATATACATAGAAACAGCTGATTCCCATGTAAACTGCTCCAAATCCCTGCTTTTCATAGGGAGCATGCATGCCAGCATCCCTGCACCAACAGTGCAAGCCTGGGGCTGCTGCAAAGGGGTTCAAGGCCCCGTGTGGAAGGATTTACCTTCACTTGGGTGAATTCTGGAGAAATTAAGCTGAAATAGGGCATGTGCATAAATATTTAATTAGATGTACCAGCTCCCAACTCAAACACTTCTTGTCCCGATGCAAAGTCCATGAGCATGACAGAGGAAAGGGACTGCCCACGAAACCACCCTGAACCCAAGCTGAAATTAATTGATTGCTATAATTAGGATCTGCCCAATGCCAGCAGATCCCTTGAAATACAGGGTTGGGGTTACATCCCCCAAAGCAAAAGCACGGGGGCAAATTGGAGCCTCTCCTACCCTGAGGGGAGCCAGACTCACCTGCCTGCAGATCAAGCAGAACTAAACTCTGACTGCATTCAAGCAGCGCTGCTGGAGCACAGGGCATGGCTGGGGGGACAGGTGCTGTGCTTGGTCCTCGTTGAAAGAACTAAGATGCTCTGAATTCCCCTTTCATCCTTTTCTTTCTCTTCCCCTTGCCCAGGGTGCCCCCTTGCTAGGGGATTTTGTCAGGGGAGACATCAATGCCAGCGCTGAGCCTGGGGGATTTAACTGCTTGCTGCAGCAAGGAAATCATTCACAGAGCAGGGCTGCTTTGTCAAGTATTTATTTCAGAGCAAAGCTTGCTTTCATCCTGCTCCGGCAGCCACTTGTTGCGTTTGATGGAATCATTTCCACACCCAAAAGCCCTCCGGCCACCTCGCCTCCTCGCTGCCAGCAGCTCGGAACTTAATAACCACGCACCTTCAGAGAGACCCCAAATTCACGGAGGGGAAACTCCGTTCTCCTTCCCCGCTGCAGCAGCACGGGGGCCTTTGCTCGCTCCATCTGCATGCACCGCGCGTGCACACAGCGAGCCGGGTGCTGGAGCAGGCTCCCAGCACGATGCCCCTGGGATGCACGATCTCCTTCCTTTGCAAAGGGCTCGTTGCTGTTGCCTTTCATCAGCAGGCAGCGGGGCGGTGTGGAGGTGTGCAGGGACACCCAAGCACCTGGGGGATTTTGGAGGGGACCAGGAAGAGAAGGGGGGTCCGGTTGCCTGCAGGTGTAAAGAAACATCAGTGCAAAGCCATAGGGTGAAAGCAAGGGGGGTTGTGGCAAGCTTGCTCTGCGAGCAGTTCACGTATACGTGTGTGTATTTAAATGGAGAGGGGCATGAGCTGAATGCTCCTAAATATACAGGCTGGGGGGAGCGGGGAGCATCAGCCAGGGCTGCAGCACCCAGCCCTCAGCACCCTGCTCTTCTGCAGCAAGTTAATTGCTTCCCTCTTTTAATTGCTCCTTTCAAGGCAGGTTTCTCATCCCTTCCCAAGTCTCAGGCGAGCCCGTCTTCAGAGCAGTCCTGCCTTTGCAGCTCAAAGCAATTTCTCCTTTGCTCCTTCCCCCCTGGGGCTCCCACGCCGCTTGTTATTATTATTATAGATTTCTATATGTTTTTTTAAAGACTCTCCTCCAAAGCATGTCCCGGGGGCAGAGTTACCTCTGTGCCTTGCCAGGGAGGAAGACGGGGACCCTTTGATGTCCCCAGCCCTTGCCAATGCAAGTGCCCCCCCACACACACATTATCCCATCTTGCAGATGAAAGCCTCTTTCTTGAGGAAGGTCACCAAGGAGGGGGGAAAAACCTAGGAGGCTTCAAAACCACTTGATTAAAAGTGATGGAAATGAAATGGCTTCACTTGCATCTCACAGGGAAGAGGAAGGAAGCAAGACAGATTTTCGAGCAGCCCCATCCATTTGCAATCCTACAGCTGGACCACAGACCCCTCCTGGAAGCTGTAGCTCTCAGGGATTTATTACCCACCCCAAAATACTCTTCCAGTAGTCCAGTAGCACAGCCTTGATGGCCAGGGCAGTCACGCCAGCAGCAAGAGATCCGTGTTTGCTGACCCGATGATGTTACTGCCTGCAATTGCATTTTGTGCACTGTTTGCACGTGCACAGCTGGGACCCCTGGGCAGGAGTGGGGGTGGGGGTGGCACAGCCCCCTGCTGCTGCTCAGCTGCAGGGAAGTCCTAAATCAGCAGCAGTGATGGTGCAGGACACGGGCGAGGACCTTCTGTGGGGCACAAATACCACTTGGCCTCATTCAAATGAAAAAAAATTAGAAAATAAGTGAGAAAATGAGAAAATTTGTGCCATTTGGGGGGGCAGGAAGCCTCTGTGCTGGTTAGGCGGTGCTGAGGGCTGCTCTGTCCCTTCCCAACCCGCCCCCACAGCGTGGGTTTGCAACACTGCTTCCTCTCCCCCCAAAATAAACCCTGGCCACAGATCATCTCCAAGACCTCCCCAGCCCTGTCAAGTTGCATTTACATTGCAAAAGTGCTCATCAACCGTACCCAGGCTGAAACAAGGCCAAGGCTGCTATTTGCACAGCCCAGCATCCCAAAAAAAGCATCTGTTGGTGAGCAAAGCAACCCAATTCATCCCTTGCCCCAAATCCTGCAGCTCCAGCATCCTCCTAGCCATGCAAGGCTCCTTCCCTATGTGCTTGCCCTAAAAGCGAGCCCTGAGGGAGAGCGAGGAGCTTCATTTTGGGGAGCTGGTCATTAATTTCTCATCCCGGCTCCCTAACGACTCGCTAATTGCAAGGGAAGCAGGGTGGTGGCTGAGGAGCCGCAGCTGGGAGGTGAGGAGCTGGCACGGCCCCTCCCTGCCCAGAGGATGCTGTAATTTGGGGAATGGCCACGAGCTGCCACCGAGGTCACCTGCTGCTGGTGACAGTGGGGCAGGGCTCGTCCCTGTCTGCAGCAGGACACCCTTCCCAAGCCTTCAGCCACGGCCTCCCCCTCCACATCACATCTCTGGGAGATGTCCTGATGTCTCTAGGAGATGCCACGAGGCCATCCCCTAGGAGAGGCAGCAGGGACACCCTGGGGACAGACCAACAGGGAGCCCCTAGGAGATGCCACCAGGACAACTTTGGGCCATACCAGTACAGCACACCCAGGAGATGCCACCAGGACACCCATGGGACACATGAGCATCCCCTAGGAGATACAACCCCAGCCCCCCACCGCACATTTTCTCTCTGGGGGGCCAAGGTACCCCCCCAAAGCTCTCCGCAGCCTCTTCCCAAAGCAGGAGCTCATCCCAAGGGCTGCAGCACATCCCCAGCCAGCAGCTAAGCCCCAGTCCCACCAGAGGTCTGGACCCCTGGCATACCCACATCCCTCCGCCCAGCTCCAGCAGACAGAACGCGTGCCTGTGCGTAATTCATCCCCCGACCTTCAGCCAGGAGCTGTAACCAAGAGCATGACTCCAACATCCCTCATGGGGAAAGCTGCGTGGTGCTGGCCACCATCCAGACCAAAGCAGGGGGAGCTTTTAAACCTCTCACGGAGCTTTTGGCAGGGCAGCAGTTTGCAAAGCTGTCAGTCTTCATGCTCGTTGCAATACAGACGGGGGCCAAAGTCCATCGGTGGCCAGGGTCTGAGCAGGGCTTGGCACAAAGCAAAATGGATGGAGAAGGAGAAAGGTGGGAAGGAATAAATCCAGATGCCTATGGATGGAAAAAGAGCCAAGGATTTAGGTGGCGGCTTCCAAATCTGAAGGGATTAAAGCATCATGCGGGAAGGCTGATATTTTCCCATTCCTTTTTTTTTTTTTGCCATGCTGTCACAGCAACCACCTTCTCTTGTCCTCCATAGGATGGCATCACCCCTAAACCAGAGCCCTGGGGTTTTGTTTCGAAAAATATTCACCCTGGGGGCACAGCTGTTAAAGGTAACTTTCTGCTTAAGCATTTGCTGGGAGTTTGCAAACATCATCTGCAACAAGCGTGCCGGCTGCCCCAGCACATCAGCATCTGAGCAAGATAACGAGGCTGAAGGAAGCGATCATTAAAAGGGATGTTGAGAAGAAAAAGGGGAATAATAGTAAATAATAAAAAGCTTAGGAAGATGAGTCTCGGTGCGGGACACCCATCACCAACTCGGATTTATGGGAGCAGGCTCAAGCCTTACAAAAGGCATCTTATGAAGGGTGTCTGCCTAGAAATATTTTGCATTAAATGCATTGAAGCACACTTTGTGGCTAAAAAAAGGAGGGGGAACACAGTAGGAAGAGAGCCACAACCTCCTTGGCACCCTTCTCCACCAGTGCCAAACTGGTTTCCATCAGCTGCACGGCTGGTCTGGGACTTGGGCAGCCCCATTCATGCTGCACTTTGATGCTGAGATGGGGAAAAAAAGCTTAATTAGAAAAGACTTTGGGGAGGGTAAGGGGGGGGCAAAGCACATTTTATGGCTAATTAGAAGAATACTCAAAAATTGGTCCAGGGCAGATAATCTCTGCTCGCCAGCAGCACGAGCCATGCTGTCCCATTTCAAGGTTGAGTTGCCGGGAATATCAATCTGATAATTGTAGTGCTACAAATGAAAATCAAATTGAAGCCAGTTAGAGGATCACATTATAAATTGATTTAGTCCGCGGACAACTTTCCACCTCCCTGGCCTTGGGTTTCTCTGGCACGGACAGAGAAACTCCATCCCACACCATTTCTGTGCAAAATGAAAGCAATTTGGGGGCTTCCTGTTGAACTTTGAGCATGAGGATTGTATCAACCCATTGGGGTGCTATCACCAAAGCTGGAGGGACAGCTGCGATGGAAGGAAAACATCTGCTCTCAAACTGAATGGGGTTACAAGATCTCATATGGAAACACGCTGGTCCCTATGGGATTTATTCCTATGGGATTTATTTCCAGGCTGAAGTTTTGGCAGTTCCCAAACTGTCTTCCATGTAGAAACAGCTCCCTTGCTCCGTGGGAAATCCCAAACCAGCTCCCAAAACATGGGCTTTCAATACCCCAAATCCTCAATTCACAGTCCAAAAAAAGGGTTATTTTAGCCAAACCCCATTTCAGCACAGCCAGCACCTGGTGAATGTTCACACCTCTGCTTTATTTCTGCATCTCCGAGTGCCCCAATATATACAGATTCCTTCTTTATACAGGTAATAATATACACCGTATTTATATATATTTATATATATTAACACGCATACACACAGATGCCTTCGGCCAGAGCCCAGCACAATCCCAGCGCCTCCAAAGCCCGCAGGGAGGTCGCCATTTCCCAAGTTTAAAAACTCCCCTCTCCCATTGCACAAAGCTGGTTTGGGGGACAAAAAAGAGTCCACTTTTAAGTTTTTCCTTTTTTTTTTTGTTTCTCCTTAAAAAAAAATAAACAGGGGTTCCACACCCGGGGTGCAACCACCCCCCGGCAGCTTTATGGGTGGTTTTGAGGTAGGTGCCGGGCGGGGGTCCCCAGGGGGGCTATAGCATCAGCGGGACCTGCCAGATGAGCAGGGTGCTGTCAGCCTCGCCGCCCCGGCGCTGCGGCTCGGCGCTGAAGTTGCGGTACCCCCTGCCCCCCGAAATGATGGCGACAGAGGAGATCTCCTTGCGGGGAGCGTCACGGGCACAGGGTCGGCTCCGCACCCAGACGTCGGGGTCGTCGGCCATCTCGTAGATGGAGCCGTCCTCCTCCGTGTGCTCCGGG